GCTCTTTTGGTTTCTGGCACATGCGCGTGCCCCCGTTTTGGCACTCGGTGCCGAAAAGGTTCGCTAACACTGGCACAGGTTCTCCTCCTTGAGCAGGGGGCTGGACTAGAAGACCTCCAAGGTCCCTTCCAGCTCTATTCTATTCTATTGAATCTGGCTTCCCCATTGACTCTGCTCGTCAGAAGGTTGCAAAAGGGGATCACATGACCCAGGGACACTACAACCGTCATAAATACAATACACGCCAGTTGCCAAGTGTCCAAATTTTGAACACGTGACCATGGGGATGCTGCAATGGTCATAAGTGTAAAAAATGGTCATACGTCCCTTTTATTAGTGCCTTTGTAACTACTGTAAGTCAGGGACAACCTGTACAGTTGTACCTATCGCATTTGGCATGTCATTTTACAGTCTGTTCTGTAGAATTGCAGACACTTTTTCCTTCCTTCAGAAGAGAGAAGCATAACCATGTGCCAGAATCCTTCTGTAAATAAGTGAAATATTATATTATAAAAATATGGTACAGCTAGTTCATAAAAAAAAGTCAACTGGCGTGGATTATTTAATTCACAAATAGCACAATAACACAACCACCTGAGATTTAAGCCAAACAGTAAGAAGAGAATTTAGGAGCATCACAACTGTGAGGTCAAAAGCATGGAAAAGGCACATGAACTCTTGGAAAGCAGAGAAGGGCATTGGTTTAAGGGTTCCTCCAGTGCTTTCAAGGCCAGCCACTGTGTGAAAGGGCTTCTCAGAAATTAACTGATCAATGTATTCAGTTTTAAAACTCAAAGAGATCCAGAATGAGTTTGTTATTAATGCTCAACGGTTTGCTCTCTCTGTGTGTAGGAGTGGGTGGGTGTAGCTATTAAATCAGTACCTATTTCTTCCTTCTAAAAAAAGAATTACACTCCAGAGGGTGATAATTTATATCTAGCGCAATCTGCTGATTTATGCAAATAGATGCAAAGCCAAAATAGAGGAGGGAAGGAAGTGTGATAAAAAGTCAGCAAGTGAGAAATCTTTCTGTTTGGGGTTCTTTGCTTCCTTCTCTGCTTTATCCCCACTCAATTTTATTTTATGTGCATTTGGCTAAACAGAACTACAAAGTGAAGCATGCAAACAAGCGGCTCTCCCCCAAATAGTTCCTAGTACCCAAATGCAGACATTTTCACTTGTTATTTAACTTGCAATTCTCAGGAATTCAATCTTGGGGACCTTCAAAGATTTGAGCATCAGGAAAGATTTAAGTTATCTTGGCTCCTAATGTATTTGTGATAAAGTTGATAATATAGTTATTTTATCTTCAGCTCAAATGGGTATCTAGATTTGGTTATCTTGGTGGAGCTGAAGGTAGCTTAATTTTGTGGTCTGGGGTTGGAGCACATTGGAGAGGAGGATTTATTATAGGCTATTGTAGAAGGAATGGGAATAAATCGAAGATCTGCTGCCCTTTGACTCTAAGCTGCAAAGATGCTTCAGAGGCCTCACAGCCTGTTGAAATATTCTTAAAGCCTGCAACATTAGCACAATACTGGAAAAGAGACACATGAGCAATTAGATTAGATGAGGAACTTAAACATGGAAAATAGGCAGTGTTGTAATGGCAAAATTAGCAGCATGAACTGACAACAGTGTTTTAATCAAATTTAATCAAGAATAGCTTTCCTATGTAGAAGAGGATGATTAGTGAGGGACATGATAGCAATCTTCCAATATCTAAGGGGCTGCCACAAAGAGGGGAGGGGAGTGTCAATCTATTCTCCAAAGCACTAGAAGGAAGGACAAAAAGCAATGGATGGAAATTTATGAAGAGAGAGAAGCAACCTAAGGAGAAATTTCCTGATAGTAAGAACAATTAATCAGTGGAATGGCTTGCCTCCAGAAGTTGTGGATACTCCATCCCTGGAGGTTTTTAAGAAGATTGGACAGCCATTTTTCTAGAATGGTATAGAGTCTCTTACTTGAGCAGGGGGTTGGATTAGAAGACACCCCCCCCCATGTCCCTTCCAGCTCTATTATTCTATGTGCTATACTACATATTATGTAGTAAGGCAAAGAAAGTATTGAAAGAATGGTTTTCTTAAAAGGAAGAACTGGCTAAAGAGCTGAAATCACACAATGTACGACTACAATGGAACTTCCCCAACTGTTCAATTTTATTTATTTATTTATTTTATTTTTATTTATTTGATTTATATACCGCCCTACTCCCGAAGGACTCAGGGCGGTGCACAGCCAACAATAAAATACATACATACAAAATTTAATTTAAAATTTTAAAATTTAAAAATTTTATGATCTTATAACAAAACAAAACAAAATTTGGGAAAAGAGCAAGCGTGTTTTCATTTCCCAACCTTCTTCATTCCTCTGATGTCATCTCTCCGGATGTCATCATGTGTAGCCTTCCTGATGATACAAAAGTTGTTCACCTTATTCTAAACTATGGCTTGCTAAATGAACCACAATTAGGTGAATACAGATGACAAGAGTTCATCCTTTGCATAAAACTATGGTTGGCCTAAACATGATTTACTGTATGTCTGCAATTGCCCAATCTAAGCCGTAGATTGGTGACTTTCCACATGTGGTTGGTGAACCACTGAAGGTTTATGAAAGGTGGGCTTCAACTGGTGTTACCACTGGTTCATTTCGCGCACGCATTTTGCATGCGCTTTGCACAAACGTACTCGCTTCACTCGCACGCACACCAAACTTGCACTTCGCACAAGCACATTGAATTTCAGAACAGCTGAGGCACAGCAATCCGCTCTGCTGCGCCTATCAGCTGGGCTAAAAATGAACAACCATAGGTAGGTACAGCGCAGGGGCAGGCGGGAAAGCCCAGCTGATGGTCACAGCGAACAGGTTCACTATCCTCACCATCACCACTACCGGATTGCCCGAACCGGGGAGAACCAGTAGCAACCCACCACTGTTCCTGCAGCTTCCGTGTCCACCATCCAAAGCTGCTTGCTGCTCAGCCTTTAGTAGTAAGTAGGTATTTAAATCTGGATGCCATTTTGGGATCCAAATTTTATTTTAAGACCACCTGTTAAGATGGAATGACAAGCCATAAACAAATACGATATTTCATCCAACCAAAATGTGAACTCCCTTGCTTTCAACAATGAACATTAGAGGATGTTTATTTAATTTAATGCCCCCACATTTTCCAAATGATTGTTTAGTGGCCCCTCATTCCAGATCTTTATGTAAACTTACTATAGATCATAACTGACCAGCCAGTCTTTTATTAAATGGGTCTATACTAATCTGATTTGATTCAAGATAAATGTTCTTACCCTGTTTTCCCCCAAATAAGACATCCCCTGATAATAAGCCCAATTGGGCTTTTGAGCGCATGGCAATAAGGCCAAGCACTTATTTCAGGGTTCAAAAAAATATAAGACAGGGTCTTATTTTCGGGGAAACATGGTATTCGTGCTCCACCCATTTTTGGAACACAAACCTATTGTTACACTTCCTTTATTCTGACAGATGTATGAATGACAAATGATCCTCATCCTGTGGTCAGTGGGGTCCACGAAGGCTTGAAAAAAGTTATGATTTAAATCTTAAATCTTGGGGATCCATGGCCATGGTCCGTGGCCCCAAAAGGTATTTAAATGGAGTCCATGGTCTAAGCTGCCTACTTATCTGCCATGCTTGATAATGAATCAAATGAATGCCAATAATTATATAATATGGGGTCAAATATATCACCCCTATGATCATATTCATGTGAAATGTTCTTTTAAAATATGAATTGCTGAAATGCATCCAATTGCTTCTAAAATCATCAGTTTTGTATCTAGGTTGCTCAGCTACATCAGTTGATTCTTATATTGTCTGTTCTTATATTCTAACAGTATCTGTATAATTCACTTATTAGATTTGATAGAGCAGTTCTCAATGGCTATAGAATTCTTGCCAGAAAATATTATTTTCCTTTTCTTGAACTGTTCTTGTTGTTGTAGAATGACCTAGAATGCATGTATTTATTATTTCTTAATTTTATAAAACATCATTAAAATCCGATTACTGAATAACTGAATGCTCCAAATCATGATAAATTATATTAAAGATGGCTTAATCTTAAACCTCGTTCTGGGTCTGCCAAAGCAGCGTGTCAATATTTCTAAGTACAGGTAGTCCTCAACTTACGACCACAATTGAACCCAAAATTTCTGTTGCTAAGTGAGACAGTTGTTAAGTGAGTTTTGCCCCATTTTATGACCTTTCTTGCCACAGTTGTCAAGAGAACCACTGCAGTTGTTAAGTCACTAGGGCGGCATATAAATCAAATTTTTTTTTAAAAAGTCGCTTTCTCCGCTCCTCGGGTGGGTTTCCTGGGGTGGTGGCGTTGCCCGTCTCTCGCCTCCGATCACCAAACCTGCCTGCGCGCAGAGAGCGGGTGGCAGCGAGGCGGGGAGACCCTCGGTCTGTCTTGATTTTAGGGTTAGTTTTAAAATTTTGATATTGATTTTAAATTGACACGTTTTAAATGACGGGCCAAATTTACAAATTATTTTAACTCTTATTTTTAACCGTAATGTTTATGTTGTATAGATGTTTTTTATTTTGGCTGCTCACCGCCCTGAGTCCGAAAGGAGAAGGGCGGTATAGAAATTTGAACAATAAATAAATAATAAATAAATAAATTTCCACGGGCAGCGAAGGCCCCACTTCCTCCTCCTCCTCTCCCTTCGGTCCCAGGCGGCGTTTTCCCCCAGCCGGCGGGGGGCGAGCCCGGCTCCCCCGACGGCAGCAGCCCAAGCCGGGCTACACGGGCGAAAGCGCCCTCCCCAGCCCGGCTCCCTTTCCTTCAGCTGCTGGCTTGCCACGTGCGGGGGGTGCGCAGGCAGCCCCGCGGCCGCCTCCAGTCCACCCCGGCCCCGCAAGAGCCGCCTTCCAGAGGCGGAGCGGGCCGCCCCGCGCAGCCAATCTCCGGCGGCGCGGCTGCTGCTTTGGCCGAGCCCAGCGCGTCGGCGGGGGATGCAGAGCTCGGCTGGCGGCGGCGGCGGCGGCAGCGCCACATTGTTGCGTCCCTGCTAAGTCTGGGCGGCTGGGAAGGCAAGAGCGCGGCGGTGGGTCCCTCGGCCCGATCCCCCCGCTTGGCTGGAGAGGCTGCGAGGCCGGAGGAAGCGCGCGCGCGGGGGCGGGTGGTGGGCGGTGGGCGGTGGGCAACCCCGGGCAGGGCAGGGCAGGAGGCGCCCTCCCTCTCCTCCCTTCCCTTCCGGGCGTTGAGAGGGAGAGCTGGGGAAGAGCTTCGCGCCCCTCCAGACGTGGCAGGGAGACAGGTGGGTTTTTGACCCGCCTTTTCTTTCCCCCGCTTCTCTCCCCGCTCCCAAGCGGCCTCCCTCGCAGGGCCGTCGTGCAAAGGCCGAGTCCGCCCCAGCCACTTCGTCAGCCGGCGAGCGCCACAGACTTTGGACAGCCGCTTTCGCGACCCGGCTGAGGCAGGCTTGGCTGGCTGGGGGTGAGCCCGCCTGAGAGGGGTTCTTGCTTGGCCTGGGCTATCCGGGGGAGGTGTAGTCCAAACTGGCAAAACCTGCCTCTTTTTTTATTTATTTATTTGATTTATATGCCGCCCTTCTCCGGAGACTCAGGGCGGCTTACGATGCGTTAAGCAATAGCCTTCATCCTTTTGTATATATTTATACAAAGTCAGCTTATTGCCCTCACAAACTGGGGCCTCATTTCACCTACCTTAGAAAGGATGGAAGGCTGAGTCAACCTGAGGACCCAGTTTGTGGGGGCAATAAGCTGATTTTGTATAAATATACAAAAAGGATGAAGGCTATTGCTGAGCATATTGTAAGCCGCCCTGAGTCTCCAGAGAAGGGCGGCATATAAATCAAATAAAAAATAAAAAATAAAAAATTGAGCCTTGGAGAGATTCGAACCAGCAGTAAATTGCGGGCAGCTGTGTTAATAACAGGGTGCGTAGACCACTGTACTATCAAGGCTCAAACCTGCCTCTGGCGGGTGGTAGGAGCTGTGGGGCAGGTGTGTTATGTTTTTCTTCTTTTCTTACCAGGTTCTGCTCCTGGGGGGGTCTTCTGAGCCCTCTCCCCCCCCTCCTGGCTCCCGAAATTGGGGCAGGCAGTCTGTGGAGGAAGTGAGTCCTGACGTTTCATGGTTCGCCCCCTGGACGGTGTCCTGGCTTTGATCTTCTCTAACTCACCCCCTCTCCCTCCCAGCCCAGGTGGGGAAGTCCCCTGGAGCATGAGTCGCTACAGCTTCTCCAACCTGATGGACTGGATGTATGGCGGGGTGGACCCCAGCTTTGAAGGCAACGGGGGTCGCGAATGCGCTGCCTTCATCCCTTGGGAGCAGCGTCTGCTGGAGAGCCTGGTCTTCACCACCATAGGAATTCTGGAGATCCTGGTGTCTCTGCAGAAGATCAGAAGGTCCGCAGCCAGAGAAGCTGCAGACCTCTTGGCTCAGTCCCGGCTCAAGGAGGAAAGTTGGGGCAGAAACGTCTTGCTGGTGACCCTCTGCCTGACCTTTGGAGTTGAAGTGGGATTCAAGTTTGCCTCCAGGACGGTCATCTACTTGCTGAACCCGTGCCATGTGGTTACGATGATGCAGGTAATGAACTGTCTTCCTCCAGATAGTTTGAACTACCAGTAGAAGAGAATATTTGTAGCTCGGGGTTGAACTGGGGGATCCTTGATGCTCTCCGAGCTTGGTGGCTTTCTTGGAGCTATTTCAGATCCAGCAGGGTAACCGAACCTCTGCAAGAAAACCAGCAAATTCAGAGAGCGCCAAGGACCCCAAGGTTTGTACTACAACTACCATCGGCCACAGCTATCTAGGCGGCCTCAAGATAGGCAAGGTTGCTTGAAAATGGAAAAGGCCTTTTGGTATCCAAAGAGGCAGCTGTTTTTATTTTAGCCAATAGTTCTTTCTGCATTCCCTTCTTTTTATCGGTGCCAAATTTTACTTTGCAACTGGTCTCTCTGCCTCTCCTTAGCAAAGAGGTGAGGCTGAGTGAAAGAACAGATCCAGCATTCAAATACTTGAGAGAATCCAAATCTCTTTTATGGTCTCTGAAAGACTACAAGGCTGGTGCCAATTGGGTCTGCTGGGGAGGCTCTTTCAGGACCAGTCGGTGGGCTGGTTTCTCTCCCCCCCCTCCCCAGTCAAATGAGGAACCTAGGAATGTAAGTTGCATGTTACCAGCTGTTTTTGTGTTTGTGGGTAGTAGTTTTAAGAAGAGACTGGACAGCCACTTCACGGGTGGGTTCTAAATTTTTTTACTACCGGTTCTGTGGGTGTGGCTTATTTTGTGGGCATGGCTTGATGATCATGTGACAATTCTTTAGGATTTAGCAGAGCTACTGGTCTACCAGGCTTTTAACTGCTTGCAGAGCTGTACTGGTCTACCCATTTATTTTTGCAGGCACTGGTCTACCCATTTATTTTTTGCAGGCAACGGTCTACTCATGTATTTTTGCAGGCATTGGTCTACTCATTTATTTTTGCAGGCACCGGTCTACTCATTTGTTTTTGGAGGCACTGGTCTACCACCAAACTGCCTTTTACCACTGATCAGCTGTAGGGCGGCCCTTTGAAGCAGTTTTTTTCCTTATAGCCCATCAGCTGGGACTCAGGAGGCAGCAATAGATTGGGGGTGGGGCCAAATAAAAGGTAAGAATAACGTGGGGGTGGGGGGGCGGGGGGGGAGAACCAGTTCGGTGACGTCATATCGTCACCGCTACCGGCTCGGCGGAACCAGGTGGAACCGGACGGAACCGGACGGAACCCATCACTGAGCCACTTGTCCTGCTTGAGCAGGGGGTTGGACTAGAAGACCTCCAAGGTACCTTTGAACTTTGTTATTTTGTATTTGACAGGACCATAGTTGAAACCAGAATTTCTATTGCTAAGTAATGTGGTTCTTAAATGAGTTGTGTCCGATTATGCAACTTTTTTTTTTTTGCCACAGTTGTTAGGCAGTTCACATGCCAGTTGCCAAGTGCCCAAATTTTGACCATGTGACTGTAGGGATGCTGAGATGGTTGCAGGTGTGAGGACCAGTTGTAAGTCACTTTTTTCAGTGCTATTGTAACTTTGAACGGTCACTAAACCAATGGTTGTAAATTGAGGATTCTCTGTAGATGCCCCAAGACATGAAGTTAGAGGTAGGCCAGCCAGGAAACTCCATTTGATTATCCAACTGTCTTAGATTTAAAAAATCAGCATGTTCAAAACTTTAAGGTTACTCCTGGGTGTCCAAGGATAGAGTAAAAAAAACCAAAATGGCGCCCATGATCAAAGCTCTGCCTGTTTTTTATGTGCAGCCAGGCCCACCTCGCCTTTTTCTTTTTCTTTTTGATGCCCTGGATCCACTGAACTCAGTAAAAAAAGCCAGTTAATCGTTCTCAGTTAAGGAAACAGTGAGCAACTCTTGTTGAATGGTTTATGTTTATGCACAACTGAGATTTACAGCTGGTTTGGAATGAGGCATTGCATTTGTCTTGCTGGAGTGATGTTTCAGAATTAGAGGGGTGGGGGTGCTTCTAGAAGGAAGCAGAAGATGGGGAGTGGGTCAGAGTGAGACACCAGCTGTAATTTTAATTTCCATTCAGGCTTCAAATTAATTTTAAATCTCATTAACATAATTACTGTCCTGATATTTAATTATTTCTCCATTCTACTGGATGAAAATGACAGTTTTGGTGGCTGTTGTAATAGCCTTTTGGAGACCCTCAAGAGATGCTAAGTTTAGTTTCAGGAGAAGTGGAATACCCAAAGCTGCTTTTTCAAAAGGCAACTTGCACTTTATTTTTCTTTGAAGACGTTTTGCTTCTCATCCAAGAAGCTTCTTCGGTTCTGAAGAAGGAACTGAAGAAGCTTCTTGAATGAGAAGCAAAAGGGTTAAAACAAAAACAAAGTCCTTTGGGACAACCATGACCTAGATGACTAAGAATCTCCATAGATAAGAGGCGGAATAGTGCTCCATTGCTCTGGGAAAGGAGACCTGGCAGGAAAGGTTCTCAGTCATCCAGATCATGATTGCCCCAAAGCTGCTACTCCAAAAGGCAACTGGACTTCCTTGATTTTGTTCCTTGGAAAACATTTCACTTCTCATCAAGAAGCTTGTTCAGTTCAGCAGGTGGGCTTGCTTGTTTTCATCCAGTATTTCTGGCAACAACATTGCTTTAAGCAAGGAGAGACTTTGATGGGCAGCGAGTTCAGTCAACTTTCTGTTTTCCTGTAGGGAACGCATGAAATCCAGAGTCCATTCGTTTAGCAAAATAATTTCCACTGGTCCAATCTTAGTCATTTGTCAGTTTTCAGTTTGCATGGAAAAAGTCATTGCTACCCGGTGCACAAAACCAAACAGAACTCAAAGGGAGATCTGTGGGAAAGGACACAAAGTTAAACAAGCTTAGAGTTTGTTTTCGTCTTAACTTGGTGATAGTGGAACTGTCCATGATTAGGACTGAGCTGGAAAGAAAGTGACACAAGGGCAAAAAAGCCGGGAAACAAGGAAGATTAAATTCTGGGTTCTGGAGGCATTGAGACTGCAGTGAAATATAAGTCACCCAAAGCCCCACATTGGATAGTGGCCTTCCAATCTCATTTTTGAGATCACCAGAGCTACTCCCCACCCTTGCTGTAATTTGGTGAGAAGGTGTCACCACTGCTCTCCATAAGAGTGTTCACTTGAAATGGTGTGATATTTTACTAGAAATCAGGATTTTGCAGGGAGTATGCCAAATTATATTGGGCTAGTGGATTGATCTGGACAATTGATCTGCATAGATTACTTAGTCTGTTTTTTCAATTATTTTCAAGATTGTAATGTGGTTGTAATTGGTCTGAGCAACCTTGAAAGTAAAGAGAGGTGTCTAATACAAGAAGGTAAAGAAATTAAATTAATCTGAACTAAAAATAGATGCTCTCGAAAAAAGTTTATGCAAAATTCTCTCCCCCTCCCCCCATTTCTGCCAAAGGAGCATTTATGGTGGAGGTTATTCAACTTTGGTGATTTCTAGATGTGCAGATAGCAACTTCCAATAGCAATGGCCCTATCAGGGAATTCTGAGAGTCAAAGGCCACACCTCTGGAAGTGGCCAAGCCTTAGCAACAAGGCGAAGGGACTGAGTTTTGACCCAACCGATCCCATAATTGCTTGGTCCTGTTGTTTAAGGCTGATGGGAGTTGAAATCCAACAGGTCAAGAGAGTCAAAGATGGTTCTCCCACTGGCGTAGATAATGCTAGTAGCAAACCAGAAACCCATTAATAAAGCTCATTGATGGGACCTCCAGATGTTGATGAATTCCAGGTGCCAGGAGGTTCATCTACATAATTAATGCAATGCTGGAAATACCAGGGGTTGTATTCACTTACCTACGCTACCGGTTCGCAAATGGGAGCGCGTGCATGCAGGCACAGAGCATCAAAAACGAGACATGATAAACTCCGTGTGGGTGGGAGGAGCCTCCCGCAGCCACCGATGCCGGTTTGCCTGAACTGGATAGAATCAGCTGAATAGCACTACTGGTTGTTACCATAATCCATAGTTAGTAATCCTCGTATAATTCTAGCACTTCAGGGTTTTTCTTAAAATCTTCTATGAAGATAAGAATGTTTTTACCCCATGCATCCTTAATCCAGCACGGCCACTGGACCTTCAGTGACTCTTTCCAAACAATTATTTCTAGCAATTTCATTATTATTATTATTATTATTATTATTATTATTATTATTATTATATTATATTATTAATTAAATTTGTATACCGCCCTACTCCCGAAGGACTCAGGGTGGTGAACAGCCATAAAATAAAACATATAGATACAAAATTTAAAATAGAGATAAAACAAATTAAATAAATTTGGCTGAACCATTTTAAAACCCCAATAATTTAAAACCAAATTTAAAATTCCCATTTAAAAGAGGAAAATTTAGGTCAGGCCAGCTTGATGAAATAGGAACGTCTTAAGCGCGTTATTGGGAGAATAACATTCTCTTTGTTTTTTAAATTTAAAACAAAGACTTTTTTTTGAAAAAAAAGTTAGGGTAATTCCTGAAAATAGGCAATTAATGTTCCAAATAATCTTAATAAGAGATACCAAGCAGAATATGTTGTTTTCATGATATTAAAAAAGAAATGTAATTTTTTGAGCTTAGTAACAAAATCTGTGCTATATTGTTATTTATAAATGTTTAAAAACAGAAGCAAAAAAAGAAAAAAAAAGAAAAAAAAGCCAGCCTTAAAAATAACATAGGTAAATATTTAATTTCTACTTCCCCTTCTTCATCCTAATCAGTTTTGCAGGACCTGCTGAAGTATATTTTAGAAACCAGGCTTTAGGTGACTCTATTTACCTTGCTGTGCAATACGTAATAACAGCATCATGCTTTTGTTTTTCTTAATGTTTGCCATGAAGACCCAAGCTCTTTGAAACAAATCAAATTTATTTATTTATTTACAAATATTTATAGGCCACCCTTCTCCCAAAGGACTCAGGGTGGTGAACACAAGTTAAAAAACATACAATAATAAAGGAAAATCCTAATTAAAAACCAATTAAAACAGGGACAAATAATAAAACCCAAGAATCAGAATCAACCC